TCCTGTGTAAGTAATATGTAACAAATGAGCATATATGTATGACTACGTTACATCAATATTCTCGGTTATAATTGAGTAATTAATATTCAGATTTTTTTTTGACGCAGGCCAACGTTCTATAGGATTTGGAAGAAGAAGACAACAGAAGGGTTTCAATCTATTCCTTATGTTGTGGCGCTCTTCAGTGCGACGCTTTGGCTTTACTATGCGACACAGAAGAAAGATGTATTCCTCCTCGTAACCATTAACGCCTTTGGATGCTTCATCGAAACCATCTACATCGCTATGTTCCTTGCCTACGCTACCAAGCCAGCCCGGGTACGTAAAAAACCTCAGTTCATATTTAAACATGCATGTGGTTAATCAAAAATCAAAGGAAGTCGCTAAATAAAACATTTCTTAATTGATGCAGATGTTGACAGTGAAGACGTTACTTCTTATGAACTTTGGAGGATTCTGTGTGATTCTCCTTCTTTGCCAATTCTTGGTAAAAGGAGCTACACGTGCTAAGATTATCGGAGGAATCTGTGTTGGATTCTCTGTTTGTGTTTTCGCTGCTCCTCTAAGCATAATCGTAAGGACTTGGAAAGCGCTAATTAATTAATTAAGAGATTAAATTATGATTTAGTCTCAATAATTTAACATTTATATATTTTTGTTTAAAATATAGAGGACGGTAATAAAGACAAGGAGTGTGGAGTACATGCCCTTTAGCTTATCCTTAACCCTTACCATCAGTGCTGTCATATGGCTCCTTTATGGTCTTGCTCTCAAGGACATCTATGTTGCCGTAAGCTATTTAATCTCTCTCTCCATTTACTAATGAATAATTTATGTTTTAACATGATTATTATCATGTCTTGAAGCATCATAATCTTATCATTATCATAACGTATACTACATGAAGTGGGTGCTTTTGTTTCTAATGAACCTGAGACTTTGAGGTTCTAATCATAGATAAAAAGAGATATGGATTGGCAAAAGATAAAAAAAAAAAAACACAATTAAAGAAAGCAAAACCCTTTTGTTTGGTATCGTCCTTTACGATTAAATAAACCAAATTATAAAGAAACTCTCGCTTTATGTTCCACAAAAAACATTAAAAGATTTTGCTTTTGCAAAAGAAGTTCATTATATATTAAGTTCTTTTTATCTTTATTGTTACACAGAAATTATATTTTGTACGTAACTTCTATCGATGCCGCACAAGTTTGCCATAAACTTTAGACCACCATTAACAAGGGTATCTTAAAGAGTTCTTAAGTAAGAAATGTGGCTTAGCTAAGACCCAAAACTAAGAAAAGTGGCTTAGCTAAGACCCAAAACTAACTTTAAGAACCAACCACATGTCATATTATTACTTTAATACTTCTAAGAACCATTTTTAAGATACCATTGTTAATCATGCTCTTACTTTATTTCATTTTTAACGTACTTTATTCATAAGCTAAAAAGTGGAAAAGTGAGTATATTAAACTATTATCATGTTATTGCCACTAAAACAAATATTTTCGATTTTTTTGTTGTTGTTGTTGCAGTTCCCGAATGTGATTGGTTTTGCTCTCGGTGCACTCCAAATGATACTCTACGTTGTCTACAAATACTGTAAAACGTCGCCGCATCTAGGAGAGAAAGAAGTCGAAGCTGCTAAGTTACCGGAGGTGAGCCTCGATATGCTGAAGCTAGGCACAGTTTCATCCCCTGAGCCAATCTCAGTCGTTCGTCAAGCGAACAAGTGTACCTGCGGCAATGATCGAAGGGCTGAGATTGAAGATGGACAAACCCCTAAACATGGCAAGCAGTCCTCTTCTGCAGCAGCTACATGAATAAAAATACGTTGACCATGCAATGTTGACTTTACCCCAACTTGATATACCAAACCACCACGTGTACCCGTTACGCTGTCGTATTTTTCTGAGTTTATCAAGTGTGCGAAGTAGAGAATTAATTACCGGAACATATGTAAGCATTTTCGGATGTGATATATGTTTTTCCGGAGTTAATTTCACTATTTCTTTTTAAATTTTATGTAATTATCTATTGGGGATTATGTATATTTCCTATTTTCTGATTTAACGAAAACTATTTAAAATATCCATCAATAATTCTGCCTTTTTTCCTTACTACTGTGTATATATGTTTGTGTTTGCTGTTATATTTCAAGGGTATCATATCAATATACATACGTTTAAAATTTTCTAACTAGCATGAAATATGATATTATATACTTGAACATTAACGGGGTGTTCTCTTTTGATATAACAAAAAAAAATTAAGAAAATTTATAAAAATGTTTCAATACAGAGAAATATTGGTATATCATTCATAAACTTGATTGGTCCAATTAAAAATGTAAGGAGTATACATTTAAAAAAAAAAAAAAAGAGCATTTTGTATGGACTCAATGGGCAAAGCCTTTGTCTAACGCAATTAGTATTGGACCACTATCTTACTGGGCCTTCCAATTTCGATTACCTGTGGTAATCTTTTCTCTAATCGTTGTTAACACATTCCTCAAGAGATTGTATAATGTTTCCCTAGCACGTTACATCGAGATCTCCATGAATAAGAACGAATCCAATTTTCTTGCTGAAGCAAAGCATAAGCTCATAATCAAGTTTGTGCTATTAATCATTCAACTGCAGCCTGAACCGAGCTATATTCATGGTCCCGTTGTCTGAAGACATCAAGAGGAAACTAGTTCAACTACATAACATTATGATGTGGCGATGATGACAAAGTGTGTGGTGCATTATTATAAACTATTCTGTGTGATTTGTAGGACGTTAACGCAAAGCAAGAACTCAACTTTTAAAAGTCAACAAATCTTCATAACGTTTTGACTTTTCTTACCACAATAAATTTTGTGAGATTGCTTGCTCTCAATTGAATCTACCTTTCTCTACATCTAAAAATTTCAGATACATTCATGGTTCGCTGGAAGCTTCCAGAACATTTTAGATCCGACTTAGAACCTTCTCGGCCGCTGCGATAGTGAATTGGATGTCTTCTGAAGTATGAGCTAAGCTGGTAAAACCGGCCTCGAATTGAGAAGGTGCCAAGTAGACACCTTCTTCCAACATTCCTCTGAAAAACTTTCCAAACTTCTCTGTATCACTCTTCTTGGCATCCGAGAAATCGTAGACGGGTCCTTCAGTGAAGAAGAAACCAAACATCCCGCTTATGTAACCACCACACATCGCATGTCCCGTTTTCTTCCCGGCTTCTAGTATCCCATTTGTAAGCTCTTTTGTGATCTTGTCTAAGTATTCATATGTCCCAGGCTGACTTAACCGCTTCAGCGTGTGAATACCCGCTGTCATAGCCAGCGGATTACCACTTAGCGTACCAGCTTGATACATCGGTCCTGCGGGTGCAACCTGCAAAAAGACGAGTGATAAAGGCTCAGGACATTCTCAATCTCTGCAAGCAAATTCAAAGATTATTCGGTTCAAATTCTAACAACTCAAGCTTTACCATTTCCATGATGTCTCTTCTTCCACCGTATGCTCCCACAGGAAGACCACCACCGATGATTTTCCCAAGAGTTGTTAAGTCAGGTGTGATTCCAAAGTATTCTTGAGCTCCACCATAGGCTAAACGGAAACCCGTCATGACTTCATCGAAAATAAGAAGAGCACCATTGTCTTTAGTAATCCGGCGTATTCCCTCAATGAACTCTGGTTTAGGTGTAATAAAACCCGAGTTACCAACAACAGGTTCAAGAATGATCGCAGCTATCTCGCCTTTGTTTGCCTCAAAAAGCTGCTCAACAGCAGCAATATCATTGTAAGGAGCTGTTAGAGTATCTGAAGTAGCTGATTTAGGGACACCAGGCGAGTCAGGTAGACCCAAAGTAGCGACACCACTACCTGCTTTGACAAGGAAAGAGTTTGCATGACCATGATAACAACCTTCAAACTTGATGAACTTTTGTTTCCCTGTGAAGGCACGAGCAAGACGTAGCACGCCCATACATGCCTCGGTACCCGAGTTAACAAACCGAACCATTTCAATACTTGGAACAGCTGAAATCACCATCTCAGCAAGAACATTCTCTAAGAGACAAGGAGCACCAAAGCTTGTTCCTTTCTTCATTGTCTCAGCCAAAGCTGCAAGAACCTGCATCAGACACATTACCATATCAACTACTAAACTTTCAGCCATCTCGAAATCATCGAAATCGGAAAGAAACAAACCTCATCATCAGCATGACCAATTATAGCTGGTCCCCAAGAACCAACATAATCAATGTATTCATTTCCATCAATGTCACGTATTCGTGAACCCTTTGCAGAATCCATCACAACTGGTTGTCCACCAACAGATTTGAAAGCACGTACAGGTGAGTTCACACCTCCAGGCATTAAGTTCTACACAGAAGAACCAAACCAGTTTCAATAATCAGAACACAATTAAACCAATAAAAACATAAACTTTATCTCAGATTATGTTTCAATCTCATGTAATCTTATCTTGTTGGCAATTTTCCTTGAAGGGTCACAAAGATAATCAATTTAACCAACAAAATGATCTAATTCCCCCAAAATCAAAGCAACGGGACATCAATGGGATTCACGGAGATTGAAAAGACTAACCTTGGCAGCATTGAAAGCTTCCTCAGATTTCTGAAGAGTGAACTTCTTCGTCTTCTCTTCTACCGAAACCGACATCTTGATGCAGCGACGGTTGGACGACGACGAAGAAGAAGAAGAAGCGCTCTTAGAGAACTTAGCGGAACACGAAAACCCTAGCGCAATCCCTGATCCAGTAAGCGTCGCCGCCATTGTTGCTATATCTCTACGTTTCTCTGTTACTCTCTCACTTGGGCTCGTAGCAGTACAGAGATAGTCAACAAGATAAGGCGGAGAGATGATCTTAAGACTTTAGATGGAGCCGACCCGGTGGTTTAAAATTAGACCCGGTCCGGTTTGATTCGACCCGGAATCTGAAACAAGTCAAATTTTGTCTGTTTGACTTTCTTAACCAATCCGGTCTGATAACTTACTTTGACATATATATTTTTATGCGAATTACATAATTTTTTGTAATTGATACAAACGAGAATTCAAACTTACATGTATAAATAATGATTAGATTATAAATTATCTTGATTTTAATTGGTTGAAATAAATCATAATTTGATTATGAAAATGTTTGTTCTTTTTCAGATCTTCTTCATAAGCTCTTCAAACACTTCCATAGCTGAAGTAGGAAGCCCAAGAAACACATTGATACTCTTCATGTCGTTTCCACTTGGTAAGAACAAGATCACTTCCCTCCCTGGTAAACCAACCGGTCCAGAGAAAACCGGTTCTCCCCAACCGAAATCCAGTTTATGCAATGTCAATTTTGACCAGGATGTAATCAAAAGTGTTGCGTTCATACTCGGCCGGGTCCGGTTTACTTCGATGTAGTCCATAGCAGACCTCATGAAACCGTCTGTAACCAACTCGACTAGTCTCTTGACCAAACCCACCGAGTGAGAAAGAGGGTTCCCAACTAATTCTCCTGATGATGTCACCAAACCAGTTAACACAATCCCGTTCCCGCAATATCCTTGCGGGAGACGTGGGATGAATCTTGACCGTCCATCAGCTGCAAACAGAAGCTTAACCCGTTGGTCTGGTTTATACTGTAGAGCCTCACATCTTGATTTCCAAAGAAACCCGGTTAAGGCTTGAAATGTTGATACCTTACTATTATTACTTTCTTCAACTGCCATGATCTTGAGCTTCTCAAGCTTTTCGGGTTCAAAGAGGAATGATTTGTAGACGAGTTTTTCTTCATCGTAGAGTTTTCCGATGCCAGAGATGTCTTCAATTTCGTCGAACTCGTTGTGTGGGAACTCGATTTTGGGAGGGTTTCGTGGCCGGAGAATTGTACGGTCCAAGAAAGGTGGGACGGATAAAGGAAGGCCCTTAGCCATCTCGCACCACGAGTTGAGGAACTCCGCAGCAGCGACTCCATCGAACATGTTGTGGCTCATGCCTAGTCCTAGGACAAAACCCCCACATTTGAAATTTGTCACCTGAAAAAAAAAAAAAACGGAACATAAAAATTTATCTAAACATGTTAAAAAAAATTCATGCAACATTCAAGAATGAATCAATACCGGTTTAAAGAAAATGGAATGCATAATAGCCATTTAACTTAACTAACTATTAATCGTCGTTATTTCCTTTGTTTCCTTACGTATGATTCTAATTAGATGGTGTAATGTACCTTAAGTGGGGTTATTCAATGATGGATTTTAATATAGTTGAAATCCAACACTGATCCAGTGTTATTCAACTAGTAATTCTAAATCTAACTTTAAAATTTGGTGTTATTGGATCTTATACTTCATTAGATTTTAATAGTTTGGTGTTATTCAACTAAGATTTAAAATACTTCATTAAAATCCAGTGTTATTCAAAACTAAAAGAATTGTAAAATTTTTGTATATTAAATCATTTGAAATGAAACCTCTTTGGAATTTTATGAGTAAATTATTAGAATCAAAATCCAAGATATACTGCAGAGATTTTGAAATCCACACAAACCGATTCTTAAAAACAATATCAGAAAACAAATCTAAACCTTAAAGAATTGACTTTAACTCCATTGTTGAATAACACCCCCTTAGAGTTTGAACATGATGAGAGTGACCAGACCACTCTAGTTTTTAAGATCGTAAACGTCAGATCATTTGTTATTATTTTAGTGTGTGTTCCTTACTACATGATTTTTTTCGTAAAATTGTATCGTTAGTGCTATTCGGGGAAATTGTTATTAAAATTAACGCAAAATTAGATATTTACATATATCGTATAGTACTCCCTCTGTTTCATAATATAAGTCGTTTTAGGTAAAAACACGTAGATTAAGAAAATCCACTTTTAAAAAGTTCAACCAATCATAAAGGGACTGCATAATATAAATAATAACAATATATTAAAAAAATATATAATTTGCATCAAAACTTGAAAACGACTTATATTGTGAAACAAAAAACTTTTTCTAAAACGTCTTATATTATGAAACGGAGGGATATATTTTTTTTGGATAATTTATTTAAATTAATATTTTAGTTTTACAAATAAAAGTATTTTGTCATATATCAATAAATAAGTATATTTGAATTTTCCAAAGCAAAACTCCCATAAATATACATTTTTGGACAATAACATGTGATTGATACTCGAATGGTTAAACTCCTTCCTGACATTAAATGCGATCATTTATATCAATTATCAAGTGGCTAAACCTAAAATAAGCAAATTACTCCCGAACATTATATAGGATAATTGCTACTCTAGTTGCTGCCATGTCGCCGTCATTGTAAATACGATAATTGATACGTCGAAGCAACATTATTTTCCCGACAAAACCTAATTAACCTTATGTAAGCTAATCAGAAAAACATAATTGTTAAGCAAAAGATCGATCAAAAGCTCACCTGAACTACTACCGGCGGAATCTCAAGAATATTCCGGGCACCTGGAACGTCGTAAACAAGTTTCTCGAGCGTCTCCATTCTATTCTCAGAGATGGCCTCTTTGATCGTCTCTATCCCACAGTTAGCCTCAGCTTCCACAACCACTACTCCTTCTCCAGTGCAATTCACAGCGATCTTTCCTTCCGGACTGATCGTCAGCCTTCCGGCGACAGGGTAGTAATGAACAAGAACCTCAGAGAGAGATTTCTTTATCACATTGTAGGATTCTTCGTTGGTTCTTGACTCCGATTTGTAGTAATATAATGTTTTCACGATGATGGCGATATTTTGATCGAGATTCGAGAGATAGTAATGACCATTTGGAGTTTCGGACACAGGAGGGATGAGTTCAGGGTTTTTCCTTGTGACGACGAACTCAAATGAGGCCACCATTTCAAGTGTTTTCAATGAAAGAAATCGAAAAACTTGTGGAATGGCTGGAATGAAGAAAGTGAGAAACAGAGAATCGATCTTGATATATAGGGTTTTAACTTCTAATTAAAGGGGGTCTAGTGGAGATTAGGGTTAGTGGTATCTTGAGTAGCAAGTGTATAGCTGGAGAGATAAGGTAAGGACAGGACCACTTGAGTTTTTGAATAGAATTTATGGAAAAAGTGAAAGACCAAAAATATAACGTGAAATATAGGTTTTTTAGGGAGTTTAAGTAGAGTCTTGAGATCAGGGTTTCGGTATTTAACAAGTGAAGATTATGTAGCTACAAAGATAAGGAGGTGATCGAAAACTTAACAAGGACCACTAAAGATCTGGCCACTTAAATACTTTAAGACCGGTATGGACGGCTGATTGAATAAATACATATATTTATGGGGTAATTGGTTGGTTGGTCGATAAGAGTGATATCTAACCATATTTGATGTTACGGCCTACGGGTCCAATTACATGGATTTGTCACAAATGTCAAAGTTGGATGTTTTCTCTATGTAATGAAGAGAATTTTAATATTAGGTTCGAAATCAGTTTTTGGAAAGGATTCGATTTTAATCATCCGCTTTGTGTTCTAGCATCCTACAAAGATGTCTTGTTATGCATGAAGAGATCGGAGAAGAATGAAGAAATCTTAAAAAGAGAATACTGAACTTTTGATTCATTAAAAATATATATATATACACTAAATTGTCAACTTGTTGATTGTATGTTTGTCCTACAAATATTTCCTTGAATTGGACAAATGGTCCACATTACGATTGAACACAAATATCTTCTTTAACCATTTATTTGTTTTTCTTCTACCGAAGCGAACACCATCAACTTCCATCACCACCAAATCGGATCCTTTTTACCTTATGGGCTTTGATTTGCCGAGGTGAATCTCTGGGTTAGGTTATTTTTCTTTAGTTTTACTGTTTCAACAGAATAATAAAGTTGGGCCGAAGCCCCTTAAGGCCCAAAACGAAGAGCGAAAACCCTTAACGAGTAAAAAAGCTACTCAGAGGTCGGAGCACCTCTTTTCTCCAAGGTTATACAGTATTTATAAATTATTTAGCTGCTAGCTCTCAAGTCTCAACGAACTCTTCCCGCCCCGGCAAATAAACCGTCGCTGTTTTCTTCTTCATTATGGCCAGTTCCGGCAAAGTTAATTTATTGGGTTTGTTTTGGCTGGCTCTCTCTTCTTATCTAATGTGTTACTTATAAATAAACAACATGTCTCGGCTACTCTAGCTGAAGAGGTTGTTGATTTTGACTTTGTCTTCTTGCTGCTCTTCATTTAGGTAAGCGAGAGGCAAAAGATGATGATGTGGAGACCAAACCGATTCTGAAGAAACATAAGGACAAATCCGAGGTAACCTAAGATGGTCGTTTTTTTTTTTATAGAATTACACTCTGTTCTAATGGCCACACTCATGTCACAGGAGACAACGAAAAGATTTCCTGAGATCAAAGGAAAGGTCGAGTTGTTGGAGACAAAGTCTGATCAGGCTCCACTGAAGGTATAATTTTTAAAAATCTAAAAATATTGTACTGTTTGTTGCATATATATTATACAAGTTTATGTTCAATTAAACATCTCGTTCTTATTGTCTCCAAAATGGCTACTCATGTAACACAACTGTTGCCACAAAGATGACCTACTCTTTGTTGTTAAAATCTTTTTTCTCCTTTGAGTCGTGCTTACACAGTTGGCTGATAAATTCAGGCAGTTCCCTCAAGACAAAACACGCTCTATGTTACCTGTCTCTCTCCCCATACTAAAATATCAGATATGTAAGTAGCACCTTTAGTTTCCTCTTTCGTTCTTGGAGCAAGTTTTTCATGACTAATATTTTTTTTACAGCATCGATTTCTTCGAAGATGTTGGACAAGTTGTTAGTGTTAAACTTGCTATAAAACGCGAGGGTAAGCGTTTGTCCAGTGGCTTTGTTGAGTTTGCTTCTGCTAACGAAGCAAAGAAGTTGAGACTAGTTTATAGTTTAATCATGAAATGTATTTTACTAGTCATTTGAAAAGTACCGTATACTTATGATGAAAACTTTCACAACTAGTTATTTGAAAGTACCTTTGCTAATTAAATCTTTTTATACTGTAGGCGCTGGATAAGAAGAATGGTGAATATTTGTGTGGTAATAAGCTTATTCTTGGCATGGCTACGAAACAAATTCCACAAACCAAGTAAATTGATTTTCCCTGTTATAGAGATTTTGTTTCTGTAACACTGGTTGTAACTTATTTCTTGGGGTTCGATGCCATTACAGAATACTAATGCTATTATTTTTGTTAATTAGGTATTGCATATATCACAAGGTTTGGTACGGGATTCAACTATTTGCCTCTTGAGTTTGTTACCATGAGCACATTAGGTGAAGTTTTTGGTATACATGGAGAGATCACAGGGTTTTTTGATATAGCAGGTACAAAGACTACATTCAACAAGAAAGCCTTCCGATTGAAGAAGAGGAGACACCTCCCTATTTTGTTGAGGTAACCGTTTTTATTATCTTCGAAATCTCTGTCAGGCTCGGAAGAAACGCTTATTTTGTCTGGGGGATGAGTCTACTTTTTGTTGTTATGCAATTTAAGTCGTGCAAACACACTTGGCTTTGTTCCATTCAGGCAGTTGTTGTAAGAAAAAGACGCTCTTTGTTGCCAATCTCTCTGCCCAAACTAAAATATCACATATGTAAGTAGCACCTTTAATTTTTGCTTTCGTTCTCGGAGCAAGTTTTCCATGACTGATATTTTATCCTTCCACTTTTACAGATTCGATTTCTTCAATGATGTTGGAGAAGTTGTTAGTGTTCGACTTATTGTAAACCCTGAGGGTAAGCATGTGGGCTATGGCTTTGTTGAGTTTGCTTCTCCTTGCTTAGCAAACATGGTGAGGCTAGTTTTGTAGTAATGATATAAAAAGTATCAAAGTAATTTGAAAAGTAGTGTATACTTATGATGAAAAACATTCAAACAGTTTATTTGAAAGTAGGATAGCTGATTAAATCTTACACATTGTAGGCGCTGGAAAAGAAGAATGGTGAATATTTGCACGATCATAAGATTTTTCTTGGTGTGGCTAAGACAGCTCCACACCCTCCACGACTTAAGTAAATTTATTTTCCATGTCATGGAATTTTTTTCTTGTAATACTGGTTGTAACTTATTGCTAGAGTTTTGATGCCATTACACCAAAGACTAACGCTATTATTTTTGTTAATTAGGTACAACCTTGCAGAGAAGCTTTGGTAATGGATTTAACTAGTTGCCTTTTGAGTTTGTTATGGAGAGCACATTGGGTGAAGTTTTTGATTTACATGGAGAGATCACAAGGGTTTTTGATATTCCAGGTAGAAGAAGATGAGACAGTGGAAGGACTTAATGAAAATCCCAGTTTTGTTGAGGTACCTGTTCTTATTATCTTCCAAATGTGTCATATTAGCCTTTAATAGAACTATTTCAACAAAGTCAAAAGATGACTTATTCTAAGGATAAATCTTTAGATGAGGCTACTTTTTGGTATGCAAATTCAAGTCATTTTCTCCTTAGAGTCATGCTAACACACTTGGCTGTAAAATTCAGGCAGTTGCCTTAAGAGAAAAGACGCTCTTTGTTGCGCATCTTTCTCGCCAAACTAAAATATCACATATGTAAGTAGCACCTTTAATTTCCTCTTTCGTTCTTGGAGCAAGTTTTTCATCACTTATATTTTATCCTCCATTGTTTACAGCATCAATTTCTTCAAAGATGTTGGCCAAGTTGTTCATGTCCGACTTATTATAGACCACAAGGGCAAGCATGCTGGCTATGGCTTTGTTGAGTTTACTTCTGCTGACGAAGCAAAGAAGGTGAGATTAGTTTATAGTAATGATGAAAAGTGTTTTACTAGTCATTAGAAATGTAGTGTATACTTATGATGAAAATGATAAAAGTAGTTATTCTATGTTGATTGCTGATTAAATCTTTAATACTGTAGGCGCTGGAAAAGAAGAATGGAGAATATTTACACGATCGCGAGATTTATCTTGATTCGGTTAAGACAGCTCCATACCGTCCACGGCCCAAGTAAATTGATTTTCCATGTTATGGAGATTTGTTTCTGTAACATTGGTTGTAACTTATAACTAGAGTTTTTATGCCATTACAGAAGACTAACACGGTTATCTTTGTTAATTAGGTATTGCATAGATCACAAGGTTTGGTAAGGGATTTAAATATTTGCCTCATGAGTTTGTTATCAAGAGCACATTGGGTGAAATTTTGGGTATACATGGAGATATTAAGGCCCTTTGATATTCCAGGTACGAAGACTACCTTCGACGAGAAAGCCGTCTGATAGATGAAGATGAGGCAGTGGAAGGACTTGATGATGAAACTCCCGAGTTTGTTGAGGTACTGTTTTTTTTTTTTTTATTCTCTTCAAAACATGCCAGGCTCCAAAAGAAATGCTTAGCGTTAAATAAATCTACTTTTTGTTGATATGCAATTTAAATTCTTTTCTCCTTGGAGTCGCGCTAACACACTTGGCTGTTAAATTCAGGAAGTTGCCGTAAGAAAGAAGACGCTTTTCATTGCCAATCTCTCTTTCAAAACTAAAATATCAGATATGTAAGTAGCACCTTTAATTTCCTCTTTCGTTCTTGGAGCAAGTTTTTTAGACTGATATTTTACTCTCAATTTCTACAGCGTCAATTTCTTCAAAGATGTTGGAGAAGTTTTTCGTGTTAGACTTATTGTAAACCACATGGGTGAGCATGTGGGCTGTGGCTTTGTTGAATTTTCTTCTGCTAACGAAGCAAAGAAGGTGAGAGTCGTTTACAGTAATGATGACAAATTTACAAGTAGTTATTTGAAAGTACGATTACTGAATAAATGTTGCATATTGTAGGCGCTGCAAAAGAAGAATGGTGAAAAATTGCGCTTTCGGTATATTTTTCTTGACGAGGCTGAGATAGCTCCATACCCTCTCCGACCCAAGTATAGTTTTCTTGATTTTCCATGTTATGAAGATTTGTTTCTCTAACTTATTGCTAGTGGTTTGATGTCATGACATAAGATTAACGCTCTTATTTTTGTTAATTAGGTACAACATGGCAGAGAAGCTCTGGTAAGGGATTTAACTATTTGCCTTTTGAGTTTTGTTATCAAGAACACATTGGGTGAAGTTTTTGGTATACATGGAGAGATCACTAGGTTTTTTATTTTTTAATATTCCAGGTACGAAGAGTACCTTCAACGAGATAGCCTTCTGATAGAAGAAGACGGTTTGGAGACCAACCCGAATCTGAAGAAACAGACGGGGAATTTTGCGGTAAGAAGATTACTTTTTCTGACGACGATTGATAGAAGAAGATGATGCTATTTGGTGTTTATAACCTGTGTTTTCGTTTTACTTCCGGTTTTTCTTATGTTCTAGTTAACTTTTTGTCTGAGCGTACGTTAAAGTAAGAGCTATATACGATTTGAACTGATTAGGCTGACAAAACCTAATCTCCCGAGGGACATAATTTTACTTTTCGCGAATTTAGTCTCAACTTGATTGGGTAGACTCAGTCTTTCACATTACACCAAAATATAAATATGTCCCCATTCTGTAAGTCACTCCTATGATTTAGACGTGAGGGTTAAGTCAAACCATCTTCTCGGCTTTGTTTTCTCTAACGTTATATTGTATTTTCTCTCTTTGTCTAGTATTTTTCAGTAATTTTAACGTTATGGGCCCATTAACCAGTAATTTTAAGCAATACAAGATTCCATTAAGCAACCGAAATCCGATAGTTAAGCAATAAAAGGGTCCATATTATGTCAAAGAAAACAACAAAAACACATACGACGTCGACACTTTTCTTGTAGCGACAAAGATATTAACAAGTCAAAGATATTAATAACGGTGATGCAACAAACAATACAATTATCATCGATGGTTTACCCGAGAGCTGGCCAATGCTCGAAATTTTCTCCAAGCTACGCAGCAGTGCCAGCCCAAAATTATTTGATGCCTAAAGCAAATTAAAAAATTGATGCCCCATATTTTTTTTCCGTATAACAAAACAACATAATTCTTTAAAATTTAATGTTAACATGAAAAAAATAAAAAAGGAAAAGTGTTAAAACCAAAAGAAAAATACAGAAGCATCAATTTTTTTCTTCACGAAAAATATTCCTCGTTGCTTTCTTTCTTGCAAATTCATTCATTAAAAATTCATTCATTAATTTTGAATAATCGAGCTTCTCAACCAGATCTTCGTCGTCACTTAGCAAATTAGGTTTTAAAAACAAATTAAATTGTTTAGTTAATAATTTAATGTTAATCAGTCTAATATAAAAATAATAATAATATAAAAGGTAACTGAAGTTAAAAAATTCAAATCGATTAAATTTTTTTAGGAAAAAAAAAGAAAAATTCGTTTTTGCAAAAAGGGAATAAGAGGCTCGAACCTTGGTTACAAAGGTTACACAAAAGCTACTTAACCACTATACTACTGGACACTTCAAAATTTCATGCCCTTAAAATTATTTATAAACTTTGATGCCTAAAGCATTGGCTTGTTGGGCTTTACCCATGAGCCGCTCTGCTATGCAGTAACCTTTGAGATCTTATTGCAAAATTGTGAGCAAACGATGGAACTCTCTATTAGTCTGTTATATATTAATATTGTTCGTCTTTCCATTACTCTCCGAGCTTGGCTTTGATCCTTAACACACAACCTCAACTTGCTACAAACGACATGTGCTTAGCGAGGATTCGAGGTAAGCAACTATATCGATCCCGATTTTGATCAGGCCCGACTCAGAAAAAAGTGTGAACTTGTGCCCAATTAAAAAAAATGTTTATATCTTATACATATGTTTAGATTTGGAACCTTTTTATATAATTTTCAAGAAAATAGGACACTAAATGCTTTAAAAATGACTAAAAATAGTGGATCCTATGCAAATGCACTGTTGGCGGCACACCCTTTTAAGTCGGGCCTCATTTTGATACCTCAAAGCAACATTGTTTTCCCAACAAAACCTAAATTGCTTATGTAAGTTAATAAAAATATAAAAATAATTGTTAAGCAAACATAATTTTGAGAAGAAAGAGAGAGATAGATTTCAAATTCATAACAGCAGGCCCGACTGTGACCTAAATCCCATGAAGCAAGGGCTTTAAAGGATTTTAGGGGCATCATTTTTCAATTAGTAATTATGGTGCAGTGGTAAAGATTTTCCATCTCTCCTGAAATAGTATTGAGTTCAAATACTTGTAGAGTATATTTTGTAAGAAAAAAATAATTATGATTTTATGATGGTCCAAAAGTTTTTTTTTAGGCAACATTTTAGATTGTGTCGGTCCTGCATAACGGAATCGATTCATGCTTGTATATAAACCCCTTCCTCTCAGCAAAATCGAATCCAGAGAGACCCAAGTTTCGAAATCTAAATTCTATCTCTCTTTCTCTCTCGCTCATCTCCATCTCCATCTTCTCTCTCGCTCATCTCCATCTTCATCAGTGGAGACCATCAGGACTCTCCAGCGCAGAAGATTATAGCGGGTGCATTTCGCCGGAAGCATGTACGAAGTGACGGTTGCAAGAAAAATTGACGTCGTGGAAAAGTGGATTGGAGCAATGGAGCGTGTTCATGCTGAGAAACTCATACGGAATAAGCTTCTGGTTGGAATCACCGTGCAGTGGAAGATTGTTGCTTTTGCAAATCTTCTCGAGATCTGCGTCTGGAGCAAGGTCCTCATCATCGTGCTCTGATTCATTACGAGCCTCCCGACGTCGCTAGATAGTTTTCTCAACCGCAATAGAGGAGCCATCAGTGATAATTAGTTATCTTTTTTCTTGAATTATTTTTGTAAATCGAGATTGCAAAATTGATATCACTTTATTTAGATTGTCCAAACTCGTATCTCTTTATATGTCACTGTAATTTTTTTGCAAATAACAAATATTTAAATTGTTATAAATTAATATCTTTATAACTTAATTTACAATGTGATCATATTGATTTATAGATTTTATTGTATATTAGCATCAGACATTGCACTTGCACTGCACAGAGAAGACGACCCAACAAAGCTTTGATCATGGTTTTTTCTAAGAGCTCATGGATTATATGGCGTAGGATTTGGTCGCTACCAAGAGAACCTCCCTGATAGATGAATCAAAACTAGCTTCATCAATATCTTTTAAGTATTTATATATGGTACTAAATGTTAACATATAAAAATTCCGCTAAATTCAACAATTTCGTCAATACCATTTGCTACTTATAAAAGATCCACTAGATTCCCGATAGATCTAGCTTCATCAATATCTATTTTTTTTTAATTTTAATTATTTTTTAGTAGAAGTCCTTAATTTTACAAAATGTGTGGTCTTATGTCTCTTCTCTCGTTTTACTAATGCCACGTGGTAATTAGTGACACATTTTGTTAGATCTATCCATTGGAATTTCTAGATGACATGAGCTTTGTGAATATTGTGCCCAAAGATTAAAGAAATATATAACGTCAACTTCTTTTTCTATCACGATATGAGCTTGTTAATTTTTATAGCCCCTCAAGATCCGAAGTTACAAATTAAAAGAGTATCTATCCGATCAATATGACTCTAGATAAAGATAGAACAAGTATATAACGTCAATTTTTCTAGCACAATATAAATTATATATTTTGAGTTTTTTAGGATTTTCTATTTTCCTCTATCTCTAAAGTCTTAATTACCTCAGAAATTACACCACTCACATATACAGACTTCTCTTTTAAATTAGAGTAACTTGGAGACTTATTGAATTGTTTATTTTCTTTACCGATTAATTGAGAGCTTTTACACATAAAGCAATACAAATAAATGAATATATATATATATATATATATATATATATATATAAAGAAAACGACACCGCATTGGAAGAGAAAGAAGTGGTCGGGAGTTGGGCCAATCGCACAAACAAGTGTACTGATCACTGATCAGAGGGAGCTGGGCCTAGTAAAATAGCATTAATTTGGGCATTTGGGCTTTGGATGAAACATATCCGACCCGACCTGACCTGGTATGATGATCTTGGCGCGAAAACAGCAAAGAACAAAAAAAAAAGTTAAAAGAAGACGATCAGAGCTAGGGAGAGAGAAATATGTTTGGGAGGCTGAAACCACTGCCGGAGTGTGGAGAGATATCCGGCGAAGATCATAAAAGACGATCCTCTCTCCGTCCACTGTACAAATTCACACTCTTTCCAATTTCAGATTTAGTGTTAAACCCTCGTCAAGCTCGATTTCAAGATCCTGGGAATGAATCAAGCACATTCGTAGGCTTTAGAGTTCTTGAGAATTGGGGAGTCGTAAGAAATCTAGAGGGAAGAGTAAATTCGAATTAGAAGGATCTAGGTTTCGAAAGCCTTGATTCATCTTGCTTCTTTTGATGGCACTTTTACACTGTAGATTCAACTCTGCTGAAGCTTAAGCAAGGGTCAACGAGACTGGAGGCTTCATCAGAAACTGAGGGTGAGGAGAATCTGTCATCATCATCATCGTCTCATGTCTTCTCTTCGGATACACAATTAGGAGACACTCATGATGCGATGGCTATAGACTCGTGTGAAAGCTTGAAACAGCTAAAGAACAAGAACCCATCTGTACTATCCATGTTTTCCAGGTACAAGAATCTAGCTCAAGCACAAAACTCAACAACAGAGACTTAGAATGATTTGTAAACATGTATCTCATAGTTCATGTGTGTGCCAGGAGAGATTTCACATCTCCATTTGGACCAAGAAAACTAACAATAAGACATATAAAACTATTTGATGCAATCCGGAAATCGATCCAGAGAGTGAATTGCAGAACTTCTGAGGTAAAGTTCTGAGTTCGAGAATCAACAAGGGAGCGCAGACAAAGCTACTCATATCAATAAGACCACATGGTTCATAACAACAAACTTGATTACAAAACTAGAAAAGGAGCTAGTTTTACCAGACGGGAGCTAAAAGAAACAATTCATGTCAATCAATGGTTACAAACTATAAAGTAGAGGAAAGTAAAAAAACTACAAACCTTGGCTGGGACATCTAACGACTCTTCAGAAGTCGCGCTTTCGGGTGTGCACTTCTTGCGATATTTGGTTTTCTATGTCACGTATTCAAGAAAAGAGAAAACAATTCAATACCCCCATATTGAATAACAAAAAAATGGAGAACAGTAATCATATTCAGCTGCAAAATTAGATAACCTTTTCACTATCAGCAAGGACAATATCCCTTGGTGCCTTGGATATTCAAGCCCTCTTACAGCAAGTTCTTCCTGAAGATATCGGAACTGATGTATATGAATATAAAATCGAGCAAGCAAGAGATAGATAGACCAAATTTTGTTATCACTTACTTTTTCACATTACTTTTGTTTCTGGGTATATCAAGAACATCACAGTAATCAATCAACTTTTCTTTGATACATTTATCAAGCTTCTCCTTTGCACTTTGCTCTGGTCATCGTAGTCGCCCCCGGAACTACATATCTTACTACAAAGTGGTACCGCTTGCTCTGAGCATACAAAAACCTGAAAACTGACCATTCACACAACCCGTGAGTAATCAATCATGAACTCTGGCAAAAGAGAGACGAATAAACCATCAAAATTCCAAGACAGCAATCATATCATACAAACCACTGAAACAATTTAACATTACCAGACAACAATCTAACAGCAGAGTAAGTCGGGAAACCAAACAGCAATGTATATCCTTATCTATGTCAAGGAAGCCTACCTTTGACTGAGGTTTACTAGACCCATCTGTTGTTACTATCTTCAAGATTTTGCACGGATGCAGTTTCCCATCCCTTTTGCCATGATACAACTCTGCACCAGTGAGAATGGAAGAAAAAGACTCAGAAACAGTGCTCATAAAGCAGAGATTTCAGGTATTGAGAAAATTGTCTCACAGAAAAAAGATTCAAAACGGCAAAAAGGTAGTCATGATTCGCAAAACCGAGAAAATGGTAGTCCTCCTGATGCACAAACAAGGTGCAGATTCTTAACTCCTTACCAATGAAAGTGTAGTCTGTGTCAGGAACAGGAATTTTGAATGCAACCAACCGGTACTATCCTAGGAACTATAGAGGCACATCTAATCGCGAATGGCTAAGGTTCAGGGGTTCCAAGAAAGAAGATAGAGACATTTTAATGCGTAAAGCGAGTGCAACTAGCTCTCTGGCCAGAGGTAAACCTTGTTGCTTGCCAGTTTTTCTGACTTCCTCATAGGGTCAAGCTAGTTTTACTCGCATGTCCAGACTAGCTTGCGATACAAATTTAACCTTCCTCAAGTATAATATAATCTATTATATGTTAAGCAGAGAAAGTAGTTCTAACACAGCATGTGCAACGACAAGCATGAATAACCAAGCCTTTGAAAGCTATCACTATGAAGGATAAAGGTTGTTCCAGAACACACAAGGAGGAGGCAAAAAGGTTGAAACATATAGAATGGTCTCTTCATAATTTCCAATTCATAAATTGCAACAGCCAAGGATACGCGAAAAATATTAAACAGAGTTTAGAGGCGTACCACAGAAGAGAGAGCAATTAAAAACGCCCACGTGTCATGTCCAAGTCATGAAGAAGCAGTAGTAGTGTTGAGCTACACTGATCGATTCTGTTACGGATTCCAAAAGATGCATTATGCTAAATCTAAATTCAAATCATGGATGGAATTTTCTTTCAGTTCCGTCTCCCGCTATGTTGTATAAAAACCCATCCTCTCTCCATGAACGAAGAAAAATCAGATCCAGCAAGTTTCGAAACTCAAAAATTTTCCATCTCCATCTCTTCCAACTTCATCTTCGTTCTCTCTCAATGGCAATCAAGACAATGGAGGTGGATAAAATCTACCAAGTGCGTTTCGGTGGTGGAGTCTTCACGGTCACCGTAGCCAAGACTTGCGCCGCCGTAGAAGACTGGATCCGTAACGTGGAATCTGTTCACTCCGAGAGAATCCTTCGCAATGAGCTCGTCGCTGGGATATCCATTCAGTGGAAGAAGAATCGCGTATGTCTCCTTCAGGTGTGCGTTGGAGGATCGGTTCTCATCGTTGTTCTCCGCTTCTTCTACCGACTTCCGACGCCTCTCCACCGTTTCCTCAATCTCTCAACCGGACTCAAACTCTACGGTTTAGGAGTTGGCACCTACCAAAGGAGGCTCGCCGGTGGACGTTTGAAGATCAAAACTAACTTCATCAATGATCTACTTGGCGACGGAGACTCTTCCATAGCTAATCTCCTCAAGGCTGCGCACGTCTCGAACCACGGTGAGTGTCTTCTCTATCTCCAAGACCACTCCATCTCCGTTAGCGACTGGAACCAGAGTTATCTAGAAGTTCGCCAGATTCTCCATGCTTCTCTCAAGGCCATTGTTCCTTTTTACCTCGCCAGATTTGCTTGATTGATAGAGATAACGCGTGATGATGATGATGTGACCAAAGAAGATGTGTAAAATAGGATATTATTATAAGTAAATAAGGTCCGTCCATGTGGCTACTATATTCCACGCGTTTTAAGATCTACATAGTTTTTTTTTTTTGAAAGATCTACATAGTTGTAAAAGGGAAAACAAAACTTTTATAATCAAATATATCATTCTCGATTTTTTTTTTTTTTTTTTGTAAAGTATCATTTATCTCTGTGTCTCGTCTTGTGTGGACGATAAAGAACTTTGAGAGCCAACTTCATCATCTCAAAGACTCTCTTGTGGCCAAGGAGACATCTGGGGAAAAACAAAAAGTTAGGTATATGAGCATTTTTATTTCATGAAGCAAGCCTCAATCTGTTTTTGGTTGTCCTGATTTTAAAGCCTCTGAAAATCTACTTTGATCTGTACAGAGGAGAAGGCAAACGAAGCAAGATCAGCCCAGTTCAAAGGTAGTTTTAATTTATTCCATTAACCACTGTGATAGCTTTAATTACTTCATGTTTGGAGATCTTTTTGATTGTTTTTTTTATGACCATTCTTCTATGCCTTAGCCTTTATTGTAAAGAATGGTTGGTAGTGGTACTTAACATTGATGCCTAGCACCAAGGATGTTTAGGAAAAAATGAATTGGCCAATACTTTCTGTTTCTGTTACATGGATGCAATCTCAAGTTGCCAAATCATATGCCAGTTTTTGGATCTTTGCTGGTCCCAATAGTGTGTATCTGTTTAGTGTTTCTTACTTACCAGAGTCTCTAATCTTGAACTGAGTCGGATGGATCATTCTTGCTGCTTTGTTTCACAGGCTATGCCAGAACATAGCAATGCTGCAATCCCAAGTCTCTGAGCTTCTCTATTCCCTAGAGTTTTTGTTAGCCTTGCGGGAACGATATCCATTCACACGGCTCACAGGTATCTCCTTTGTAATCTTTATAGCAAAGGCATGCAAAACAAATTTATCCCTGTCAGTTGTCCGCTACTTATGTGATTAAAGCTATTGGTATGGTTTCATGCAATAGAGAAGATGGTTTTGTGTTTGTCCAAAAAAAAAAGAGAAGATGGTTTTATTTGTGAGGATTTACAAGCTTTCCTTTAAATTTGTGGTTAGCAGATGCTGAATCACATCAAGGTACTTGTCTCTGCAGTAACAAGAATAAACGAGCTTGACAGCTTGTATGGGGTTATACATTGAAACAAAGGTTCGTAACTGATACTAAAGTAGAGTACATATTGGATATCTCATCTACACTTTCGGAACTCTTGCCTATTGGAAATGAATTGCTAGTCATTATTTTCCTGAAGTAGTAACATCAAATGAGTGTACAGGGTCCAAATAAAGAATCAGCTAACCAGCCTGCTAGTATCAAATGAAACTGGTGAAAGGGAGGATCCAGACAGCAGACGATATCTGCACTGGTAACACATTTCTACTCTCATGTATCAGTGATGCTTTTTGTAGCCAGTAGAGATACCATTCCCTGTCTGTACCTCTGGATTGCACCAAATTTATATGTAACTGAGGAGTTTTAAGAATAGAGTAGTTGAATGGTCTGGTTTTTCTTTCTTGGTTCATGTCCTAGTATCAGTGGTCAGTTGTGATGAAGTCGTTTTTAGCTTTGAAAAGTCCTGAACGCTACACATGAGACACTTGATCCCACCTGAGGCATGTATATTTCTGAATGTTTTATTCCTTTCTCAGTTGTTTGAGAGCATTGCAAGAAGAGGTTTTATGGAAACTGAAGGATACTAAGAAGGTAATGCATGATTTCAATTCATCACCATTCACCACTATTGGATTTGGAAGGTTGCAATCTTCTACGTGTTGAGAATAATTGCTTTTTTTTTTGTATGGTTTCACGCAGCAGCGAAAGTGGTTTTGTTTGTGCGGATTTTTAAGCTTTCCGTTTCTCTGTATTGCCGAGATGGATGCATGTTCTGGATCTGTATTGTCGAGATGGATGCTTTTTTAGTATGGTCCAGAGATCATCGAATTGCTGGTACGCATCCTGATTTTACTAAGTTCTCTCCTATTTTTAAAGACATGGAACTCTCATGTCTAAACAAGGTTGTTTGGTTATTAAATGAATATTTCAAGGGATAAAGAAAAGATATGATGAATCAGAGATCTTGAAGGGGTAGTTAGATAGTACGTAGTTCTTTGGCTGGAACATTGGCCCGAATTTTGCTTTAACAGTTAACTTAATCGGGGTGCTTAGGATGATAAACTTAGCTGCAAATATTTATACTCGTCATTTGCTAATTTTACTTGTACACTATAAGTTAATTTCTCTAGCTTGTTGGTTGTTGCATGATTTTCCTTTAGAGTCATCTATGTTGCAGAAGCAGATATTTAGTCCTCACTTCTGCTTAAGCTTTTGATCCCCATTGGGCAGGTGAAACAGCATACCTTCTTCTTTGATTCAAACTAGCTAACGTAATCGAAGCAAATTATACTTGATACCCTGAATGATGTCCAGATGTGTTATGTCCTCGAGAGATCGACTTTTTCTGGACAACCTAACTGAGAAAAAGGTAAGGGTAAATGTCTTGATTTCAGCTTTGACCTAATTGCATTATTTTGTTTGAGTTTATGAGAAAAAAACTATGTTATTCTGCATTAGAAATAGGCTTCAACATCAATAACAAATGAAGATAAGCTTATTAATTCCTGGGGAGTACATAAGGACATTCTGCTATTTCTATCCTCCTTTTAATTAAATCTGATATTATATTAGTGTTTCCTTTTGTTTTGTATAAAAGATCAGTACGGAATATTTTAGATGACCAAAACTAATGTCTGAAATGCTCTTGCAGATTGCTAAAGATTCTAGCTACAGTTCAAGAATTTGTTCCACAGCTGCAGAGATTAGAGATATGTGGACAGCTTCCGTAACTACAACTTGGGACAAGGTGCACCCTTTAGCATATTAGGTTCAATTACCATTTTCATTAAAAAGTACTTTATGATCATGCAGTATTTCTTCTCAAAGTGTTTTTTGGCTTCCTGCAAAGATTTACATATTGTTATGTCGGAAAATGTGATAGGTGGCACTCCTTTAATCCATTTAAATATTAAAATGCCTTGTGATATCTTGTGTTTATGTCATATAAGAAGAATTGATTACTTTTAAGTGATAAACGTTGAGGTTTAGTAACATAATTTTATAGCTAAAGCATGCAAAACAAATTTATCCCTATCAGTTGTGGGCTACTTATGTGATTAAAGCTGTTTGGTATTATTATTATTTGCCTCTTGTTTCTTTGATTTCTTTTTTAACACGGAGTGAATTTTGTTGGTCAGGTTTATTGGCTTTCGATTGATTATCTTGCTGTTACCAGATCAGCAGTAGTGAGCCATCCCTTTCCTTCTGAAATATTAGACCAAGTTTAGATAGAGGCTCTAAATTACCAAGTTTAGATAGAAATTTGGCAGTCTAAGCCTCGGAGGATCCTGATTTGTCTTATCATGATATGGTAATTGTGTATAAGAAATGCATGTTATCCATTGGGGATTATTGGGCTAGATAATTATTGTACTCAGGCTCCTCCATAGTTTTCATCTTCTTAACCAAATAACTAATATGCATTGTGGTTTATTGATTATTGACTAATGAGTTGTAAATCATCGTCATATATGAAACTTCCATTGGATGCAATTTAAAAAAAATTGTAAAGTCGGTGGTCTCTACGTAGGAAAAGGGGATTGCAAATAAGAGTTTTTTTGGTATGGTTTCATGCAATAGAGAAGATGGTTTTGTGTTTGTCCAAACAAAAAAAGAGAAGATGATATTGTTTGTGTGGATTTATAAGCTTTCCTTTTCTTCGTGGTTAACAGTTGCTGAATCACGTCGAGGTACTTGTGTCTGCAGTAACAAGAATAAACGAGCTTGACAGCTTGTATGGGGTTATACATCGAAACAAAGGTTCGTAACTGATACTAAAGTAGAGTACATATTAGATATCTCATCTACACTTTCGGAACTCTTGCCTATTGGAAATGAATTGCTAGTCATTATTTTCCTGAAGTAGTAACATCAAATGAGTGTACAGGGTCCAAATAAAGAATCAGCTAACCAGCCTGCTAGTATCAAATGAAACTGGTGAAAGGGAGGATCCAGACAGCAGACGATATCTGCACTGGTAACACATTTCTACTCTCATGTATCAGTGATGCTTTTTGTAGTTAGTAGAGATACCATTCCCTGTCTGTACCTCTGGATTGCACCAAATTTATATGTAACTGATGAGTTTTAAGAATAGAGTAGTTGAATGGTCTGGCTTTTCTTTCTTGGTTCATGTCCTAGTATCAGGGTTCATGTCCTTGTCTTTCTGGCTTCTCTCCTTTTCTTTTCTTTCTTGTTGTGATGAAGTCGTTTCTGACTGTTCTTGCTTCTTGTTGAATTCGAGTAAAGGAGAGAAGTAAACCATGTCTGCTTCTTATTGAATTCGGGTCACCGTGATGTATTTTTGAGACCTTGGTTTGTGCTTAGCAGACTAAGTTTCTTCTCTGGGACATGAGTTCGTAGGTTAACAAAAACGTTTCTGCAATCTAGATGCCAAGAAAGTTCAAATCAGTATCCCTTTAAAGCTCATTTAAAATTTTTACTCTTATTCATCGCCAAAACGATCTTTTCCATATTATCAATCGAGTATAGTTCCTCGAGCAGTGAAATATCTGACTCAAGACGGTATAACTTTGCCAGCACGGTAGGTAGACAAGTAAGCTGTTTGAAAAAGGAGTAATCAAAAGGAGTAATCCGATAAATTGAAGCAATTCAGGGGCCCATTAACCAGTACATTTAAGCAATACAAGAGCCCATTAAGCAACCGAAATCCAATAGTTAAGCAATAAAATAGCCCATTTTAAACCAACCGATTGATGACAAGAAAGACGACGACGTCGTATATGCTTGCAAATTGGTCGTATCGTATTATGTTTAGCCCGTGTTCGGCACATGTCACATGTCTATCACGTGTATGGCAAAGATAAATACGAAAACAACATATACGACGTCAACACTTTTCTTGTAGCGACAAATCTATTAAAAAAAGTGAATGATGATGTTGATATTAATAATGGAAAAAAAAAAAAAAAGGAAACGATAATTACCAAAAAAAAAAAGGATAATATCAAAAGATTGGTCTCGATATTTGATATGCATGTATAGAAAAAGAAAACTTATAAGCCAAACAAGGATTCAGGCTTTATGTATAAATATCAAAGTATAGAAACTTGAAGGAAAATAAGAAACCAAGTTATAAGAGATGGCATCGTTGAGAAAACGAAAGAGATCGAAAACAGCTTTTTATGTTTTTGGTAACCAATCTAAGAGAGCTTTGAAGTGGATCCAAAGAAGAAAAGTCAACGATGATGTTGATATTAATAATGGTGATCATGCAACAAAAAATACAAATATCATCGATGATTTACCTGAGACCTTGCTTTTGGTTGAGATTTTCTCAAAGCTAAGTAACCCTAGAGATCTTATTGTATGCAAAAGCGTGAGCAAACGATGGAACTCTCTGTTATCTTCTTCTTCTTTCCATTACACTCGTAGTTTGGCTTTGTTTCTCAACAACACACAACCTCAACTTGCTACGAACGACATATGCTTAGAGAGTTGGAAAGGATTTGAGTTATGCAACTATATCGATCTCGATTTTGACCATCCGCTTTGTGTTCTAGCGTCCTACAAAGATGTCTTGTTATGCATGAAATCTCCACCGGTTACGAGGCTAAGGCGATCACAATCACAATTCTACCTTGTGAATCCCGTGACAATGCAATGGACTCGTCTTCCAAAATTTGCCAATGGAATCATTGATGTCATCCCAACGTTTCCATTAGGGTTGACAGGGAATGGGTCAAAGGGTACGTACTATGTTGTCATGCTGAATCTTTCTAAACCTTATCTGCTTAATGTTTGTGTGTTTGATTCTAAACTCGGTAAATGGATATATGATTTTATCGAGCATCCTCGTTGGTCACCATCCGGATGGTGTCCAACGCAATACCAAGCCTTGACCTTTAATGGAGCTTTACATTGGTTAGCCGAGGATGGACCTATCGTAGCTTATAACCCTAACCATATGCGCAAATGCATATTCATCCATCGTTCCCAAGAGATGCATCATGCTTTTTATGGTGGCGGTGCGGTTGTTTCTGAGACTTTAACCGTCTCCATGGGTCATCTACGCATCATTCAATTCGTTTGCTTTAAATATCCCGGTGAGTAGTAAAAACAACCCTATGCATGTGTATATATGAATCGAAATAAAATTATAGTTATTATAAATTAATGATGATTAATTAATTTTCTCTCTACTTTATAATTTCTTTCTAGATGATCATCACCATCTTTGTATTTGGACACTCGAGGATTACAAACAATCCATATGGAAACAAGAGCATGAGCCTGTCTATTTTAGAGACATGGTTTCTGATCTTCCATGGATACAAGACTACATGCGGGGATATAATCTCAACACAACAACTAACAAAGACAATGTGCCCATCATCATGCAATATGTCGACCTTGATGATTATTTGGACGTTGAATATCAGCCTCCGGAAACCAAAGAACGGATCGTTTGTACAAGGCCTTTAGTTTGCCATCCAAACAATCCTCTTCTCGTTTACTTGTATTTACCTGAAACCATCGTCTCTCTTGATGTCACAACAAAGGAGCTGAGGCTAATCACCAGAGACAACGGAAGCGGCATGTCTAGTACTAGCTCTTACTGGAACCACTATGACAAGGTGATACCAATGACGCTTCACTTAGATCCTACTTTGATCCCTTGTCACGAGCATGTACTTCTGCCACGTACGTGATAATCTCACATTTTGTTAGATTTGTCCTTTGGAATTTCTAGATGACGTGGGCTTTGTGATTTTTTTTTCCTAGAACGTTATGAGTTTGTTAATTTTTATAGCCCCAGATCTGAAGTTACAAATTAAAAAAAAAAGTAATTTATCCGATCAATATGACTAAATAAAGATAGAACAAGTATAAAACGTCGATTTTCCACGACCCTGAAATAACCAAAGAAACTAGAACTAGTCAACGTCTCACAAAGTACATACTAGATCAATATTGAGAGAAATATGATTATGTGGTAAAGCAAAACTGTAACACCAGTTGGGTCTGATTGTAAGTCAACTACAGAACGCATAATAAAAGGAACAGAGAACTCAAGCAAAACATAACTCCATAGATAATAACTCTAAAGAGAAAAAAAAAACAGATATGATAATTTTAGTAGCCAAGTAAACAAAATCAAAACATAATTGTAGTAGTAGAAGTTTTAACAATAAAGACTTAAAACTAAACCCTCATGTGGTAAGTGTCTTCCCAATTGATCTTCTACAAATGGAGAAGGGCCAAATACATGACCGCAACCATGTGATTAGCTAGTAGCACCATATGCAACAACGTCAGAGCCAACTTCATAAGCGACCATAAGGGCACATATGAAGAATGATTGTTTGATAAAATGTACAGGTAATACCCAAACAGAGATGTGAGGCGTGAATGGCAAGTTCAAGAGGTCTTGCTTCTAAGAGTTTACCAAGAACTGCGTCAACTATCTGACCTAACTCTTTGGGCAGAAAAGAAAGATTCTATGAGTCTTCATCATGGAAATTAGTTGTTGTTAGCCTCGGAAATTGGTGGAAGAGAAGGTTGAATTTGTCAACCAAGTTCAGATGTTGGATAGACATATCGAGCTCAACACATGGAGAAAAGCAATAAACCACACTCAGCCAACGACGAATCTCAAGAACACTCTTCATCTAAGAACAAATATGAAGCTACTTAGAAAAACATACAAAAATCTTGGACTATGGATTTACATAAAACAATAGCTAACCTCTTGGACTAAGTGACGCAAATCTGGGTGGAGGATGTACTTTTTAAAGCGTTCACAACAACATCCAAGAGTACCTTCAAACAACAAACAAGAAACGAAGGGTAATTTCAACACCAAAGTAATTTCCCCTCTTGGACCAAAAATGATAGTCTTTGCATAATGGTGGAAAATGTTCACCACCACAACATGAATAGCAAAACTTAGAGCCACATGATTTACAACCTAGACTGAGCCAATCGTCAATAGGGTTGTTTTCAAATTTTATAAATTAATTTCATAGTCCGATCTTATTAATTTATAGAGATTTTCTTGTATATTAGCATCCGAGACTGCACTTGCATTGCACTGAGAAGACAACCCAACGAAGTTTTGATCATGGTTTTTTAAACATCTCATGGAATTCTATGGCGTCGGATTTGGTCGCTACCAAGAGAACTCCCCGATAGATGAATCTAAACTAGCTTCATCAATATCTTTAACTACCTAAATATGGTACTAAATGTTAACATATAAAAAAATCCACTAGATTCAACTATTTTGTTAATACCATTTGCTATCTATAAAAGATCCATTAGATTCTGGTAGACATAGCAATTTAGCAATATATATATATATATATATATTTTGCCAAATTCAATTGGAGTATGATAGACAATACAAGGTGCGTTACTTTGGAGGAGTCTACAAGGTAACAGTGGCAATGACAATCTAGATCTATACCATACAGGGCCGGCCCGCAGGATAGGCCACCCAAGCGGTGGCTTGGGGCACCACACATTTTTTTTTTTTTAAGGTTTTTTTTTTTTTTTTTTTGGTAAAAAAGCCCATAAAATGAAAATATTTAGTAAAAACTAAAAAAATTTTCGAAAAAAATAGGGCCCAAACAATTAAATTTGAATGTAATAATATTCAAAATATCATTATTTTTGTATAATTTACTAAAAATATGTCAAAAAAAAAAATTAGCCCTAAAACTTATAAATATATTGGGAATTATTTTATTTTTCGTGTAGAGCCTCACAAATGCTCGGACCGGCACTGATACCATATACACCATGTGTAGCTTAAAGTGATTGTTATTTTCCACGATAGGTTGATAAATATATAATGTTTGATGATGTGTGTGTAAAGTAGAAAAATAAAGTTTGTTCGATATCCACACGTTTAAGATCTAGTTGTAAAAGAACAGACATAAATTTTATAATCCAAATATATTAATTTGAGATTTTTAAGTATCATTAAATTATAGAGTATTTGATTTATAAAAGAAAATGTTAAACTAATCATAGAGTGATATGTATATGAGAGAGAGAGTCTCTATAGAGGATTTTTCAACTGAGAAACGATTCTAAGCATTTGAAATTATAAGTTCTACTTTTTAATTTTGATTTATTTTTTGGTAGAAGTCCCCGATGAAATTTTACAAAACGTGTGATTAATTAACAAAATGTGTGATTATGTCTCTTCTCTCGTTTAACTAATGCCACGCGGTAATTAATCACACATTTTGTTAGATCTATCCATTGGAATTTCTAGATGACATGAGCTTTGTGATTGTGCCCAAAGATTGAAGAAATATATAACGTCAATTTTTGTTTTCTAGCACGATATGAGTTTGTTAATTTTTATACACTCAAGATCCGAAGTTAAAAAATTTCCTTCAACTATCATTCAACCAATCAGCTTTATTCCTTTCTCATGTAAGATTCACTTTTTTTTTTGGTAGGAATGTAAGATTCACTTTGTTCTAGCTAATATGACTCTTTTAAGTTGACTAATTTTTTAGTTGACATTTTTAAAAGGTCATAATAAGTAGTCTTTGCGAATCACCTGCACCCACATGGGAGAACGCATCCACATGACAAGTGTTGGGGTATAAAAGCATTTTAAAATCGATGCCATCACTTTACAATAAACGCAATCAAAATTGGTTCAAATATATCCTATTTTGGATCCTAATCTCAAGGTCCCAGTGAAGGGGTTACAGGCTCATCTTCCTCCCATGTGATAAAAATAATCAACACATCCCACAAAAGCATGCAAATCACTCATTGCCTCTTCTTGTTTATCCAATCCAACATGCTCGAGAAAACCCTCAAGGAAGTCAAGTCCTTACAAATACAGCTCAAATCCACAAAGTATCCAAATCATATTATAGTAAAAATAAAAAGTTAAGAACTTAACAGCTACACAAGACTACAAGAGGCACGAACCTGATACTAGATGAGCCTAACAGATTACACAATACACCAACATACAAACAAATCCCATTCTCTAAAAGTGTAAATCACTCCTATGATTCGATTCACACATCAAGGTTAAGTTAAACCGTCTCTTCGGGTTATGTTTTTTCTTATTGCAGAAAAGAGAAGAAAGACAAAACTAGTCCTCTCTCTCTTTCTCACCTTCATCCTCTGTGTTTTCCCCATTCTCATCATCATCACTCATTTCGTTAATGGCATCTGTAATGATATCCTTCACCTCTGCTTTTCTATGCATAAGATCAACTCCAAAATGGCTCCCTAGTATTATCACAGCCAGGAAAAGAATGTTTCAATAAAAAAACGTTTCCTGCAGATTTAAAAGACGATAACAATTATAGATTGAAGTTAAAGAGAAAAGCTTTACAGAAACATACCAAGCTTCCGCAAAATATCAGATAGAGTTGCCTGTTTCGAAACAAAATTCATAATGTCTTTGAGTTCAAAGGTTTTGTAAACGGTTTATAATCTGTTAAATCTCAATCTATTGAAGTCTTACCGTATTGAAGTCTACTTCCTTCAGAATTTTGGCCACCACCACATGCAGTTCTTTTTTTGTGGGTTCTTTTTTACCTTTCTTACGGGATTTTCCTGTACCGGCCATAGTCAATGAAATAGAGAGGTTCAATACACTATGAAAATGTGTGATATTTAAGCTTTCAAAACAGAGCTGAGAAATCGTTCAAACCTTGATCTTTGGATCCCTTTGCCTGTAGTTTACTTGTCTGTGTCTTGCCTTTCTCTTTAGAGGAATCGTCTTTATCAACCTTTTGCTTCTTGCTTGATGATGAAGTTGATTTATCGATTTGTCTGGAGGACTTTCGACTAGATTTTGCAGAACCTTTAATAGATTTCTCCTCTTCAGCTGCTGGTTTCTCCTTCTTAGTCCTTTTTGACAAGCTTTTTTTATTGGTTGACTTAGTCTTCTCCTTGGCTTTATCTTTCTCATCTTCAGTTTCGGTATCTTCATTTTTGTTGTTTTCTTCCTCTGGAGCTACATCATCTTCTCCATGAGAGTCATTTGTTCCTTCGGAACCAACATCAGCCTCACCGTTTCCTTCAGTCTCAGTTGGCTGTTCTTGTTTCTTTCCAGAATTCTTCGCCTGCCTTCTCCTCTGTATATATCAAACAGAATAGCAGACACAGTCAGTGATTGTTTATGCAATTTTCATCAAAGACTTATAATCAAGCCACGCAGAGACAGAGACTTGTTCGTCATAAAAATGGCCAATCTTTGCTTCAATTTGTTTTCTGGTAGAATCTTACGTCATAGAAATGGCCAATCTTTGCTTCAATTTGTTTTCTGGTAGAATCTTACGGTTTACAGAAGGTTCAAAGCCATATCACACAAGGAGCTAAATGAGGAAAACTAAATAACAAGAACACGGGAATGCCATTGAGTAAATAAAGTATTAAGCTAGTGCTAAGACTATCCAAAAAACATCACTGAGAGGCCTAATAATACCCTTGTTGACTAAAAACCAGCCAATTAAAAGTGATCAAGCCATGGAACTTATCTTGGATTTCCTGCTATTCGCAAATTTTCTCATTATGGTATTACACATTGCTAAATAATTACTGCATACCAAATGGCAGCTGAAAGTACAACTAATAAATTATGAAATATAAAAACATCAGATTATAACGCATTGATGCAATCTGGAAATTCATTTACAATGTGAGTTGCAGTAACTGATACGCGCAGACACAGCTACTCATACCATAAAGACCTACTGGTTCATAACAAAAATATTGACTACAAAACTAGAAAAGGAGCTAGTTTTACCAGCCAGGAGCTATAG